GCCTAACCTCCTTTTTAAATTGACTTTAATTTCTGAGTGTCCCAAAAGCTGGGAAACATAGGGTAAACTTATTTTTAAATAGAGCATTAGTTTTCAAATAGAGGTTCAATTGGCTTTTATCCTCTAAACACCTTTTCAGATGAAGTATCTCTAAATTTAAAGCAGCGTGTCCAACTGTTAATCTGGAAAATGAATATGGTGTATTCTTTTTCTTCTTCCCCATTCAGATAGAAAATATGAATTATTTTCTTCATTACTACATAGATTGCATGAAAAATAATTCAGTCCTGATGGTACAGGGTGGCAGTTATGAGCACCTGCTGTTGTGCTATTGTTTAAATATGATTTAACTTCTGTTCTGGCACTGACATTCTAAGCAGTTTGAGTTTCGGAGTTTTTCTATATGTGTGTTTGCTTTTTATACTTGCTATTTAGCTGTCAGGTTTTCAACAGTCACTTCTCATTAACATCACTATCCTTAACTCCTACAATCCCCCCTCTTCACTATTCCTATATTTAGTTTCTTCTAATCTGGTCAGGAAATCAGATAAGTAAGCCTGCTACATCTGTTTCCAAAGTAAGTAAAAAGACTAAGTGGGACTATTAGAGCACCATTTTAAAAAACCCTACATTGGCTGCTCAATATGCCTTTCCCTTCCCTGGGAGATGTTTCCATAAAGAAACTGGAGATGAAACATGGGCCTTCTCATTGTCGTCAGTAAATTTGGACAAGTTATAATTAACCTTAAAAATATAAGATCTTTGAGGACAGAATCTGAGCTGTTTCCGTTTTTTTTCATGCTGTGTGTGTGTGTGTGTGTGTGTGTGTGTGTGTGTGTGTGTCAGTGTCAGGGTGCGGGGCGGGGGGGCATCCTGTAGAGCAGCATATATCCTAACTGCCACCATATCCATATGCCAACATATATCCTTTTTCTGGCCACCAGGTTATCTGCTTTTAACATGAGAATATAGAGAGGAAACTAAATGTTGAGTGTTTTATTTTTGCTTTAAACAGTTATCTTTTACAGTCATTGAAATATGAAGAAAATGTCTTATCTTTGTTCACATATTTACTGTTTACAGTGCACTTTATTTCTTCATGTAAATCCCAGTTTTCATTTTGTATCATTTTCTTTTTGCCTTAGGATCTTATTTTAACATTTCTTAGAGTGTAGGTAGGTCTGCTGGTGATGAATCCTTTTTTTTTTTTTTTAATCTGAATAAGTTTTTATTTAGCCTTTGTTCTTAAAAGATATTTTTTCTGGGTATAGAATTCTAGGTTAATACTTTCACCATTTTCAAGATGTCATTTCATTGTCTTCTGGTGCACATGGTTTCTGATGAAGCCAGTTGTCATTGTTCCTA